CCGTCAAAATTAGCATTCAGTAATTAAAAATCACACCCTTTCTCTTAATAACCTAACCAGCATGATACAATCAGGTTGTGCCAACTCTTTAATCTAATTGACTAATTACAGATTTTAATTTAGTCAGTTACTGAACAACTGTTGACAATTTGTTTTCATTAGGGACAGAACAGGATAAATATTTAGGCTCCCCAGTCAAAGACTAAGACATAAGCTCTGGGCTCTGACCTCCGGTTTCACAATGGAGCCTTCTCCAAGAGCATCACCCGTGGAAAGGTGCTGCTCTGCAATGCCCTGGTCCTGCTGCCCAGCAGCAGAAAGTGTGGAAGCCAAGGTTGCTCTGTCATGACAGCCAATGTTGTTTGAAATATAATATTAAACTAACCCACCCTTGCATGGTACTCCTGCAAGAGCAGGCTTTAAAGGACACCCAGGCTCACCAGTACCCTGAACTGGGAGGGAAGGCCGAGCCCAGCGCTGCCAGGAGAGGGAATATCTGGATTTATTTATTTTTGTTGCAATTTTTTTTTTTTGGTGAAGTGATGTGGAGTTCTGCAGCTGCTCCTGGCAAGCTGCCACTCCTGAAGGAAACTCCTCTCTCCTGTTACCTACCAGGGAACCCTGTCCCTGCAGAGTGGAGCTGGATGGAGCCCAGACGGAGCAGTCCCACATGGAAACGGGACAGAGCTGTGTGTGCCACCACTGAGCCACATGCCCAGGGCTCAGGCAATGCCTGTGGGGACTCACAGGGACCACACAAAGCTGTTCCCAACCCTGTCCCTGTGTTGCACTAAACCTGCCTCCAAAACAGCTCTTCTCCTACACAACACTGGCTGCACACAACAGGAGAAGCTCTCATAGACCAGGACCACCACCACCACCACAGAGGTACTCATGGATCAAGACTCTCACACCTGCTGGTCCCACCCTCACAGCCATGAGTGCCTTGAACAAGGCCTTGCAACCTTCACTGGTCCTGGAACAAGAGGAGAGCCTGGCAGGGGAGAGGAGACAGTCACACCAAACCCTTCATCCATGAAGAACATCCCTTCCCAGGGATGCCACAAGGCCATGTCTCCTGCCAGTGCACCATGCCACACAGACCCTAGGGAGCAGATGGTGCTGTGACAAGGAAATGCTCCCAGCAGCCCAAGAATACCCAGGCAGTGATCCTGGGATGGGGTGCCTGTCTCACACCTGGATGGGGCATGATTGGCAGATTCAGCACAGAAGAACCATCCCTGGGACACCCCCAGTCTGTACAGCCAGCAGACCAAAGTCCTTCCAGCCTCTTAGGCTATACCTTATTTCCACTGAGCACACTAACTCCAGCAAGCCAGAATTCTCCATCCATCCATCCATCCATCCATCCATCCATCCATCCATCCATCCATCCATCCGCTTCAGAACTCCCTGAGATCTCTCTAAGGGGGACGGTTTCATATAAAAAGGAGAAGCCCCAAAGGTTGGTTGTCCCCAACCAAGACAGGACAGGAGCCCCAAACACACCATCTTTTCCCAGCCCAACCACCGCACCTCCAGCAGCAACCACCCCCACTGCTGCAGACATCTTTCCAGATCCAAGTTAGAAAGAACTGCAGCAGCTTTCCAAAGTTAAAAACAAAAACAAATAAATCAATGCTTTGCGTTAATGGCAAGTTGAAGCCACAGCTACGCAGATCTTGTGCTGCAAAGAAACAGCATTTCAAATGCTCCCAAGTGCAGGTCCTTCTCAGGAGGAAACTGGGGGAAACAGAGATAGGGCATGATGAAGTCAAAGTCTTCATCAGCTAAAGGCTACTCCGAGTTCTCTCTCCTGAATGTTGACATGAGCTGGCTGTGCAGGCAGAGCAATACCACAAAAAAAGTATGTAGCAACAGTCAACTAGATTTAAGTTCATTTTCTGTAGCTCGAGGCCAAAATCGACTGAAGTGGTTCTGGTGATCAAGTTTTCTGCAATTCCCCTTTCTGTGTATTAGCTCTTTGACAGAAATTCACTGCGGTATTTAAACTGGCAGTCATCACCGCTAACTCAAATTGTATTGGCTTTCACGGCGTTGAAATGCTCAACTGCGACCAGCCATCGGCCAATTCCCAGATAACGCGGCGGCTGAAATCCCCTGTCATGACGGGCGATCCCCTTGCAAGCTCACCGGCTCTGGAGCGTGCCGGAGCGCCGGCCTGCTCGCCACGGAGCTCGGAGCAACCTAAACCCATGGCCACGGGTGGAGTTTGAGGAGCTGGCGCTCCTGGGGTTGTTAGTTTGGATAAACTCTTTGGATACAGGTGGACGAGGGTGATGAACAACCCTCCAACCAACACAACTTGGTGTTTGTGTTAGCAGACGCACAGAGCTGCCAGAGATGGGAGGGTAGAGCAGAGCAGCATTCCTCCTGCCTGTGCCAGGAGAACCCCCACTCCCATCACTCTTCTCCCAACAGGCACCTTTCTACAAAGTCCCAGTAGGCTTTTGTCCTAGCTGGGAGAAATACCTTAGGGGAGCAGTAAAAAGCAGTATTTCCAAGCACTCACAAGACTCCACAGTTTTCAAGGGTCCCCTCAAAAAAGAGTGGAGAGATTTCTCCTTACTTTCTTAATTTCCTTCCTTACTTTAATTTCTCGCTGAAGATTTAAAGACTCAAAACTGGAGGGGGAAATCAGCAATTTGTCCTGCTGCTCCTAACAGTTTTCATACAGTTATGCTGGAAAATAAAGTGGAAATGACACACCGTGCAAATCCCACCCTGCTAATGACAATTTCTCCGCCTTCCCAAAAGGATTGTGTCCCAGGCAAGTACCTCTCCACTGCTGGCTCTGGGAAAGTGACATGCCAGGATCCCAAAGCATGCCCCCTTTCTGTCCTTACAGTAGCACAGTATCAGAGTTAACACACCATATTTTGGGCAAACACCAAGCAGCACACACAGAGTTTGCTGGCCAAGTGTAAATACAATGCTCTACCAACCTGGGGCAAGACTTAGATTGGGATATTTTTAACCACAACCACCACATGAAGCAATCCATGACTCACTGATCCAGCCCCATTTGGGGCTCATATCCCGTTTTAGCTGCCATGCACCACTGATGGGTCGCTGGGTTTGCTGTTTGACACTGCCCACCGCGCTCACCAGCACCAGCAGCCTGCCCGGAAGCTGCAGAGAAACAAGGCTCTATTCACACTCCCACGGTTATCGTTGGGTTCTTTGGTCAATATTTAAGTTTTGGCCAGGTAGGTCCCTCGCCCTGTAAAGTACACGCCGTGCCAGGAAAACACCATTCCTCAGTGAGGGACTGTACCGTGAACATCCGTCAGCAGCCACGCCACGGAGAAGCACAAGCCCTGTCTTGGGGCCAAAACATGCCTGGGGAAACCAACCCAGTGCCACTAAGCCAAAGCACAGGGGAGTGAAAACCTTAGGAGTTACCCAAAAGGTAAAGCACTTGGGGCTGTTAGAAAACTGCATTACACTGAGAATTAGAAACAATCAGGATTGTGTCTATTTACTGTAAGCTTAAAGAGACGTGTACTAAAGAAGTTTATGTGAATCATCTAATGCACTCAGGCCTATTGTTAGAATTATTACCAAGCTAAAAAAAGATTAATTTCTCTAAATACTCTAAATCCTCAGACACGATGAGGAGGCTGCTGTGGATGGAGCATTACCAGGTCTTGCTTGCTAATGTCATCTTCACCTGTGGCTCTGCTGCTCTAAGATCTACCTTTGCCTTGCTCCTGATGAGCCCACTGTCCCATCTGGGCTCCCAAAACCTCCGCAATTTGTCCCAAAACATCCAGGAAGCGAGCAGAAGCCAACAACTGCTAGACATGCTGCTGGTTATCAGCTCTGACCCTCGGTTCAGGAGTTCACCATCTTAATCCGACCCAGCGAAAACAAGCAACGCAGACAGCGGCCGCAGGGATGGACAGACAGACAGACAAACTCCACCTAGCAAATACCCAGACACACTTCTCCCAGGACCCAGCGGGGTGGGAAGAGACAAGAGGCAGCTCAGCAGCCAGCCCAGCCTCTGTGGCACTGCCCGTGCCCCAGGGCGGCTGCTGTGCCCAGTGCCAGAGTGCCACGGAGGTCCCCGAGACACTCACACATCCCAAGCCAGGCATGTCCAGGCAACGAGAAACTTGGGAAGGGAGGAAAAATGGTTTCCATACCATAGTCTCCCCGGAGCAGACAAAACCAGCTCCTGCTACAAGGTTTAAACGTGCTTGACTGGGGTCCAAGCCCGCAGCCAGGTGACTAATCCTTTGATGCAAATTCCTCCCAACGCCGCGGATGCGGGCACCGTGTGGTGGGCAGCCCATGGGGCAGACATGCCATGCACCCTTGCCAAGAGGGGCTCTTTGGGAGACACCTCAGACTCAAGCATGCCACCCCAAAAACATCATCCATCCATGCTGCCACCTCTGCAGAGAGCGACCCAAACCACGGAGAGCCAAAGATGCACGACGACCAACCAACGGGGCTCTGCAACACCAGCTTCAACAAGACAACACCTCTCCCTTGCTGGGATCAAGGGAGGACTCAGGAAAGCAAGGAAGCCCCCAGCCTTGCCAAAGGCAGGGAGGTATTTATTAACTGGGGCATTCAACAGCGGTTTGGGGAATTCCCCCTTCTCCTCCCCACCAAAATCCAACCCCCGCCCATCCTGCAAGGTGCCCTCAGCATGAAACATCTCACCACCACAGTGTCCTCAGCATGAAATATCTTGCCATCGACCCTCTACAAACGCTTTGTTGTCCATTGCTATGCAAAACTTCTTAATTCTACCACTAGCCCGAATGCCTTAAAGTGCTTAAGATAAGTATCTGAGCTCATTTACATAATTGCAACATTATGAAATACTGTTCAGTCAAATCAGAACATCGCTGGTTTAAAAAAACCCCACGCTTTTTGCCAGTCGGTTACGTTAGGTTGGCTCTCGGTGCGCCGGAGCTCCCCAACGCCGTAATTACCGCGAGGATTAGAAACTTGTTACTCACGTAGTCATGAAAGGCTTTGGCTTCACTCGAATGTTCACAAGTGTCTCGCCTTTCGGGAGCTGCGCAGTACAGGTCCCAAAACACGCTGCACGGCAGGGAGAGACGGGAGAAGAGCAGTTACTCATCGGGGATCGGGCAGCCAGGTCAGCGCAGGTGAGCGGCTGGGACCGCAGCTGGATCCGGCTGTGCATCCCAGCTTCACACCACCCGGAGCTGACCGTCAGCAGCGGGGATGCCGGCTGCTTCAGGAAGCAAAAGTAGCCTTCAAGAGGCAACACCTCGAAGGGACAACCCCCCGTGCGACTTCGGGGACTTCTCGCAGCCTCGCAGCCGCCCAGCCGCGCTCCCCTGGGCGCCCCAGCGGCACCGGCACAGCCCGGTGCCTGCGGCCGGCCCGGCAGCTCTCCAGCGGGAGCACTGCCCGCCGCTCCCGGGGCCGTACCCCGTGGGGGCCCCGCGCGCACCCCCCCACCCCCGGGGGCCGCTCCCACCCGCGACGGGACACCCCCGCACTTACCACCACCAGGAGTGCAGGAAGCCGGGGGCGGCGCCGCCGCCGCCCCGCGCAAGATGGAGGGCGGGCGTGCGGCGGCGCACAAAGGGCGCGGGGGGCGGCGGGGCTCACCTCGGACAGGAAGGTCTGCGCAGACTTCTGGGCGCCGACGTGCAGCAGGTACTCGTAGACGTACAGCGCCAGCCTGCAACAGCCGAGCGCCGGGTCGGAGGAGGAAGAGGCGCCCCGCTCCCGCCCCGCACAAAGCCGCCCGCCGCCACGGCCGCCCCGCTCCCCCCTCCGCCGCCGCCGCCGCCGCCGCTCTTACTTCTCCCGCGCCTGCCCGTCCGAGGGCACCGCCGAGCCCTTCCCTTTGGCGAACATGGTCCGCGCCGAGGAGGAGGGGGGCGGCCGCCGAGAGCCGCCGCTGCCGCCGGAGCACGGACCCGGCGGGAGGCAGGCACGCAGAGGAGGAAGAAGGGAGGCGGCCGGGGGCTGGGCACGCCGCCTTCTCCTCCGGACCGGCCCCGGCGGGTCACGCCCGGCGCCGCGCACCCCAGCCCCGCGCTGCCGGCGGTCACCCCGGGGCCAGGCGCGCCCGGCTGCGCGGAGCCCTGAGTGGAGCCCGGGGCCGGCGTGCCCTGGCTGCCAGCTCCAGTCACGGGTGTTGTTGCTCGCTTCGCTGCCTTTAAAAACACGCGGGGAAAGCCACTCCCTGCGGGGCGGGCGGGGGTCGCGCAGGGTGGGCTGTGGGGAGCCCTGCTGCCTCTCTCCGGGGGCTCGGACAAGGCTCTGGTGTAAAAGTCAGCGCTTTGCGTCCCTCTCCCCACCAACATCCGTTTCTGCAGAACCAAAGTAACCACCAGTGCCTCGGGTGGCAGTGCCCACGGGGACAGACGGTGGAGCAGCACAGCAATAAGGGCTTCGAGCAGCTCCTTCCCCCTGCCCTGGCCTCGCCTCCACCTCCGGAGTGACCGGCTGAACAAAACCCAGCCGGGCCGGCGGCTGCGCCGGGGCTGGGGCTGTGCGATGAGTTAGCCGCTGCTGGAAGCGGGAGGTTACCGCCAGACCGGGGGATGGCGGGGGTGACGGGGCCGGGCGCTGCTCCGTGCGAGGGCGGGGGAGGCACTGCGAGCGCTGCGGCGCCCGTGGGAATGTTCACGGCCATCGGGACCTGCCCGAGCAGGGCCAAACTCGTTCACAGGTTAAATTGAGGTTTAAATTGAACTGGGGGGGGGGGGGGGGAAAAAAAAAAAAGTCTTCCAATGCGGTAGGTCGGAAAGGATCAAAACTTGCAGGCGTCCAAGATCGTCTCAGAAGAAAAGGAAAACCTGGGGCTTCGCCCAAGTTTTGGGTTTTATGGTGGGGCCAGGGTCACAGCGGTGATGACAAGGCAGGCGTGAGGGGCTCTGCTCCACGCATGCTTCTGCGGCACAGACCAGACAAACCCCAGACTTTGTGTCTCCCGAGCCTTTGCATCCCTCTGCTCCTCTGCTGCTCTGATGGGTTCAAAAATAACTGGGAGTGTCCCCTGGGACTGAGGCTATGGGATAAATCTGACCCTCCAGCAGCACGTGAGAAGTTCACTAAATATCCCCGGTTAAAAATAATACCGTGATATCCTGTACCTCCTGTGTGGAGGTGGAAAGCACTAATGCCACTGGAATGATGGGCGTTGTGCCCTCGGCAGCAAAAGGGCCTCTCTGTGCCCAGAATATTGCCCTGCCCTGCTCCTGTTCATCAGGAGCTTGTTTTCTTGTAACTCCATGATTTTCTCTGATAGGTGAGTACACAAAACCCAACCACTTCCTCTCCCCAACCCCTGGAATAGTTTGGGATGTGAAGCAAGCCCAGGGAAGTGAGATGGGAGACAGGATCCCTTCCCCTCCAGGTGCCTTCAGCAGTCTGGTTCCAGGTCTCCAGACAGGAGTGGAGGATGTTTCCAAGATGCTCAGAGGAGAGAGCAGGCCGAGAAGGGAGACAGGAAACCACCTCGGCTTTCCCTCCTCTCTTCCGGACAGCTGCAGTTCCCAGCCTTTTCTGGAGGAAACAGCCAAGAGCAGTTGATGAAAAACTTCCCAAAGTGGCACAAAAAAAGAAATTGTCAATTTTGCCATCCCAGGGTGGCAGAGCCCGACCTGCCGGCTGCCAAACCGAGGGCAGAAACTCTCGTCCCGTGTGAATTCACCGGGCACCGGCCCTGCCTTCGCATCTTCCGCGACCCGATGATTAGAGCAAATTATAAGCTGGTGCTTTGGACCAATTTAGGTAAAGATCAGAAGGGAGACTAATTTCATATCATCACCACCGCAGAACGCAATTAAGTGGCTCTGCAAAGTTTTAATGCAAGTTATGACAGGAAATTTAGGAAAAAATAAATCCCCACACCCAAAGCCAGCAGCTCCATCCAGCCAAGTTGCAGGAGGACGTACCAAGGCTACCGAGCGCTCCCAAGGTGTGGAGGGCAACCTGTGGGCTACCTTACTTTGGCCAGACTTTCTCTTCATCAGGAGTTTTTCTTGGGTTGCAGCAATTATGGCACCAGAAGTCATTAAAAACCCCAAACCATCACGCAGCTGGTTGTTTTAAACACCTGCCTCTGGATTTCTCCCAGCTGTCAGGGTTGTCTCCCATGCCAGGGCTGTGTTGCATGGTGGGTACCCAACAGATCCTGCTCCACTGAGCCCAAAGGCAGGAGAAGGTGCCAGGGGGAAAAGGCAGCATCCCCTGGGCACAGCAAAGGCAAGGCTCAAATTTACTGCACGCTGCCAGCAGCTCCGCTGGGACTGCTGTGGGATCCCCGTGGGCAGGCTCCCAGTGGGCAGGGATGTGCAGCAGGAAGGACAGGTTTGGGAGGGAGTAGCTGTGGGAAGAGTGGCCTCTCCACGTTGCATATTAATGCTCCTTGTGCTTTAATTGCGGTGGGACCTCTCGAGCAGAGCCATTAGCATGCAATGCGGAGGAACATGTATTTTTGGGATGCCTGCCTGGCTCACAGACTCTCAGCTGTGGGGAGGGGCAGGCTGTGGGATGCAGGGAGAGGTGTCTTGTTCCCCCCACCACCAGGGATGCCGCTGGAGTCGCAGCTCCTTCCTCGAGCCCCTGAATCATCCCCGCTGCCATCTGCTGCACCCTCGCTCTTCCCCACAGATGTCCTTCTTCCTTCCCCAGAAGGAGATGAGAACTGAGGACGAGGTGCCAAACACGACTTCAAACAGCATCTAATAAAACACGGGATTAATTTCTTCTGACTGGTGCTCAATGGCTCTGATTAAGCAGAGCAGGATTTAATTAGCTTGTTTGGACTGCCTCGAAGCCCGTGCCAAAGGTGGGGGAGTCTCAGTGGTTGGGTCTCCCCAGGCCCTGACCAAGAGCTCATGCAGGCCTGCAGGACCTTCCCCTTGAAGAGCAGAACCTTGCCAGGATCCTATCACCACCCTTTACCAGCCAGGATTGGTGCCCTTGGCTGTGCTTAATCCCAGTGATGCCCATGGGAAGGCACGAGGGAATGGCAGGAGCAGGGTGGGGTTTGATGGGGCACACAAGTTGGTGGCCCCACCAAGAAGACACTGTTGTCTTCCCCAACAGCATCTCATCCTCTGAACCCCATGCCTCTTGGCACAAACCAAACTTGCCCTGCCACCAAGACCTTGAATTTAAAGTAACCCTGTTCTCTCCCTGATTTACTACAAGTTGCTGGCTCCTCTCCTCTCCTCTCCCTCCGCCTGTCCTCTTTAACCCATTTCATTATCTATGCTAGCTTAGGCTTGTCTATGTGGGAACATCATGGTGAAGTTATTGCAAAATAGATGGGCTGTGAATGTAAAGCGTGGCAGCTATTCCCCAGCAGCTCCCTGCGTGGCAGCTCCAATTCCTCACCCGCAATTCCTGCGCTAACCTCGGCTGCAGGCAGGCACTGCAAAGTGCCGAGCAGGAGCACCCATGTGGGACACAGCTCCTGGGCTTTCCCCAGGGAAAGCTGGGAAACCATGCTGCATTCCCATAGCTGGCACTCCTGGATCTTAACTCTGTGGGTTCCTGTTATTGCAGGGGAGACAAACAGAGGCAGAAGGCACAGAGGGAGAAAGCGACAGAGGTAAAAGCTAAGGAGGACTTCCCTGTCTGAGGAGCACAGACAACTCGCAAGCCCCAAACTCACGCTTGGGGTTTGGCTCCTGAGGAACAGGGCAAAGGCAAAACCCAAAATGTCAGACCCTGGTTACACTGACAGAGTGTCACCTCTGCTCACCTCTTGCCAGTGCCAGCTGCCCTGGGCAAGTCTGGTTCTCCCTGTTCCCACCTCCTTTGCCACTAGCCTGCATCTACCTGCAAGAGATATTTTGCAACGAAATACCTCTCCCCTCGCAAAGCAGCATGCAGGGGCTGTGGTCCTGCAAAATGACAGTCCCAGCTTGGCTCCCAGTAGGGCTGCTGACATTCCCGTGCAGTGCTGTGTCTGACCCTGCTCCTTCCCTATGCCTGAGCTCTGGGGGCTGCTGTGCAGGGCACTGGCATGAAGTGAGGTCACATATAAGTGCTGCCTGTCAGTCTCCTATGGCAATGGCACAGCAGGGACCCTCCCAGGGCGTCCCAGCAGAGCTCTGTGTGCCTGCACTGGCTCCCAGCAGTGCTGCTGACATTCCTGTGCAGTGCTGTCTGTGTCTGACCCTGCTCCTTCCCTATGCCTGAGCTCTGGGGGCTGCTGTGCAGGGCACTGGCATGAAGTGAGGTCACATATAAGTGCTGCCTGTCAGTCTCCTATGGCAATGGCACAGCAGGGACCCTCCCAGGGCGTCCCAGCAGAGCTCTGTGTGCCTGCAGACCCTACAGATGATGGGATAGTGCCCATCTTGGGAGTTTTCTCAGCCATCCCACAGGACAGTCTCCAAGCTGTGCCCAATGCCAACCATTCTCAAGTGAAGGGTTGCAGCCTCTCCAGAGCAGCAGCAGTTTTCAGCTGCCTTGGGAGCCAGGCAGAAGCCCCACTGCACCACCTAAGTATCTGCAGTTCAACACCAGTGGATTCCTCACCCCCCTGCCCTCGGCAAGGAGGGGTTTAGGCAGGGAACAGGCGCCCAGCCGGCATTACGGGATCTAAATCCAGCTCTGCTGGGTCTGGTTTTGAGCCTCCTCTCTCTGCCGGGGCAGAGCCTTTGGGTCCTATCTCTCCTGTTTCTTCTCCAGGCTGAGTCCCTTATCTGTCACCTCTTCCATCTGTCTCCGCCTGATATGTGCCGCCAGCAGTGCCCTGAGCCAGCCACCCCCTCCAGCCCTGCAATGGGGCCAGAGCCCCTCTGACAGAGGGTGACCTTGGGTTTTGCAGCAGACCTTCCCCCTGCTGCCACTGGCCCTGTGGGTGCTCCCACAGCAGGGTGGAGCAGTGC